AATGCCATATCGATATCCAGTAGGCTACTAAAGCATAAGAGTCACTTTTTGTGCAATAAGTATCAGTTTCTGCCTTTGGATATCCATAATTTCCGTCTGCTTATTTTATTGGACATTTAACTGACTAGTGGTTCATCAAGTGGATACCTAGATGAAGCATCACAAAGCTTCGTTTCAGAATCTTAGCTGGAATATAGAAGACCCATGGGGGATTTGTTGACTTGCTTCATTTCTGGTGCTCACTTGCTAGATATCCCACTACCTATTAAAAAGGATGAGTATAGAGTTTGTTCTGTTGTGCTATACGAGCAGTGACTGAGGTGACTTGGACATGTACTGCGCATGGCAAGCCATCACCAAATTTGATTTGCCATGCTAGGGGAAGTTGGATTAGCTTAGAAGGGGCTTCAGGGTGCACAGAACAAGATGTGGTTTGTTTTAAGCTATGTAGCAAGGCGTAGACTACTTCATTGGGGTGGCTGAGACGATAGGAATGAGTGACTGAGGATTCTTAGTGACAGAATGGCGCAGAAATATTCAGTCTAAAGCCTGTATGCTATGGCTAATCTTAAATTTTTTAAGTCCTCACTCTTCCTTTGCACCTTTGTCTACTTTGATATCAGCCGTTTTCTATTCATTTATTTGCATGCAGTTGTAATGTGTGGTAGTTCTCAGTGATGCAAGGCTCTAGGTTGATTGATTTTAACTGTCTGTCTGCTTCATCTCGGTGTCATTTGCTTAACAGTGACCAGTAATCCAACCCAGAACTAGCGTCTCTGAAGGTTTTTTAGTACTTACTAAATGAATTCGCTCGCTGAGAAGCAGATCTTATCCAGCTGATGAGTCTGATATGGGATGAAACAGTCGTTCTGGATTCCACTACTAGATAGCCCCTACCATCAAGGAGGGAGAAAAGACACCAAATGAAACTCAAGGCAACAGAGAGACATCGACCTATATTATGAAAAGTAAGGCTGAGGAGTCCGATACTAGGACGAAACAGCTGTCCAGTGCTCTCAGGTTTCCTTTGTTCTTCCAACTGATGCAAGTTCGTGATGAATGAGAACTTGAAATATCACTAAATCCCCACAAACTCCCCAAATTAAATTGATCTAGTGCTTATTCGTGTCTAGTTTCGAGAAGTGATTCCTGAAGCTTTAATGAGAAGTTGTGACCGCTAGGGTAAACCTGGTGGCCATGAGGACAAAAACTCAACGATGACATTTAGTGATGGTTGTCAACTGATAGAAGTTGGATTCTGACCCAGTGGCTAGCTCAATAGTAGCATGCTGGTCACAGAACCTGTAGGTCTTGAGGAGTTCCATACTAGTGGGACGAAACAATGGCTGTCCAATGCTCCCAATATTCCTCCAACTCCATGATATTGAATAGGAACTTGAAGTATTCTTAAAATCCACACAAACTCCTAAATTAAAAAGGAAAACGATGTTTTCCGTTTAAGTAAAATAATAAAGGACGGAAAATTAGAAACATTTTCAGTTGAAAATTCCAATATTTTATCGATCTATCCCATACTATATATATGTTGTACACTTACTTTAGTCTGCAATATCATCTACACAATAATAGTAATTTTTCTGTTGTTTGTGTGTGTGTTTGTTGTTTTTTTTGCATGTATGCAAAAATTTTAACAGTCTTTTATCAAAAAAATAAATGTTTTCATTATTTATGAATGAATGAATGAAAGAGTTTTGACTATCAACCTACCTACCTACCACAATCTGTCTGTTATATATTACTACTTATAACTGGGAATATAAGTAGATACCAGTTGTTTTAAACAGTCTGTGTGTGTGTGTGAATCAATGTTCAATTGTAGTAAATGAGTAAAACGTGTATTTATCTGTTTATATGTGTGTCTGTGCGTACGTATGTGTCAGTAAAGTCAAGAGTATTTGTCAGTCTATGTTGGTGTGTGTATGTGTGTGTGTGTTGTCTGTATGTATATATGTGCATTTAAATGTTGAAGGAGAAATTTCAAACTAATCTAGCTGATTCATTTAGAGTAGTTAGTTTGAATCAATCGATCAATAATTTAGATATTTGTCTATTATATATAAAAGTATGCACGCACGTACGCACGTATGCATGTACGCAAAAATTTTAAAAAAATGGGATGAAAGTGTAGATAATCGATTTATTTAAAAGTACTTTTTATGACTAGTTAGTTAAGATAGTCTGCCCAATATTTCGTATATGACCAATGAGAGTGGACCAGCTATTTGTCAATGTTATATCGTATTTTATTGGTGATTGAATCATGTATAACTTGGGCTACTGTGTTAACTGGAATGCTGGAAGAATGCGATAAACTTTAGAATAGTCGAGATAAGAAATGATCCCCAGTATATATATCATACAAGAAACTGAATCCATTTGGAAGAGGATCCAAATCGCTTGTTACAAACACTTAAACATTCCCATAACATTAATAAAAAGCAATAAACTGTAAACAGAGAATAATCTTTTCAAAAATTCTCATTCGATCCTACAGTTACAAAATGAAGAAATTGTACACCGTATAAAAAAAATACCAGACCAGATTGAAGGTGAATACAATTTCAAAATGGAATGTGAGTTATGAGATTGTAAACATATTGATTTTTTAAAATAAATTTGTCAATATTGAGATGATACATGTACAGATATGAAGAATTTGATGATAAGAGAAAAGTTGAACATGATCTTTCTGAATCCATAGTTCACGTTTGATCAATCGTATTGCGACAGCCTCAGCAATGTTGAGAAGGCGTCAGTGATGTACACATGGATATTGCTTTTAGTATATGAAGTATACTACTGAAAGCTTTATTAGCGTCTATATGATGCCCTGTGTTTACTAGATACACTTGTACGGGGATTTTCACTTTGATTTTGCAAACTAACCCGTTTAATGTTCTTGTATCGCTTACTGATGGTGTGAAATTCAGTTTAAAATTCTCTACGAAAGTGACCTTGAAAAGTGTAGGTAATCGATTTTACCATGGAATCCATCAGGGACTGACATCAATTGGAGTAACATTTGAAATCTAAGGGGGTACTGGACAACCACTGTTTCGTCCTAGCATCGGACTTCTCAGCAGTGCGCATCCATGACCTCACACCTCCACGGACCCAAACCACAACTTTCAAGTTCCGTAACCAGCACACTACCACTGAGCTAGCCATCATCATCATCAGAGGGTTTGAAATACTCAGACTTTTATGACTGTCACAGCTTTCTAACTAACAAGATGAGTTGCATTTACGCGGTAAATTTAATTCAGTGAGTTAACATTTTGTGAATGGCTAACAGTAAACCTACGCAACCTAACTCTGAAATGAAATTAATACGAATGTCGACCAATCAACATCTTGAAATGGACTGAACTGTTCAATCACTCTGGCTAGATTAAATGGAAAGTCAAAGATTAAAATCTGAGAACTCATTCCAAGTGAACGAAGGAAATATGATACTCTTCAATGAGAATAGGTAAAGGTTAAGGAAATTAAAATTTTAGCTTTCTATCTACAGTTAAGAACGGCGTCCTTGAAATGACCTAGAACGCACCAACACACAAAAGTTATCTTCCTAATGTGGTTTCTTAACTATCTTTATGAACTCACCTACATTTCAAATGCTTCTTACTGCTTCTTACGACGAAGATATTTATCCGTGAGATTGCATAATAGTTATCTAACTAAACTGTGATATGGATGTAAATGAGCTTCCAGTGATCTATCTACACCTACATTATTTGTGTGAACGCCAGTGGAAGGAAGGATTGAGGAGTTAGACCTTGGTCATTGAAAATAATGTAGACATCAGGTTCATGAAGGTGGACATCAAGGAAAGACTTTTAGAATTCAAAGTACATAAACTTCAGAAAGAAGTCACAATGAAGTAAACAAACATCCAGTGGGTCGTCCTCTTAGTACTACTGGAACTAGGAAGTCATTTGGGGTCGAGTCGTAGGGTTTAGGGAATTAAAATGAGAACTGTGATTAGGATGAAAGGCGTGAAACCTGAGCCTACTTCAGTATGAAATACTTGTTGATAAATTTCCCTGTTTTCGGGAATGTAAACACCAGATAAGCCTCTCAGAACTAGAAAGTATAACCAGACAATCATATGAGGAATAATTCTCTTCGACTTAATGCAAATTTCCATCATCAAACATCCTGTGTTAGAGACAGACATCGTCCTTCCCAGGCTATCTGGAAAGACTGCACAACCAACTTCTACGTAATTGGTCAGCTCAAGGTCACTTGACGGTCACTCAAGTGTGGCGAAGTCTTATTGTTTCACCTTGAGAATTTATTACTTGCCTACTGATTTTCTGTACAAATAATTACTCATAAGAAAGTAACCAGCTGGCATCGTATTGTTCCGAATGATTGATTAGAGGGATTAACTAATCAGAATCTGCGGTCTCAGCATTTGCTTCCAACGTCTATCCAGACAGCCTATATCTCGGGTAGAAATCTCCACTATCAGATGAATTCTCAGTAAGATATTTATCCAAATTTTGATTCACTTATGTTGTTGGCAGGTATATAGATGAGTATTTATTTTGCTTATGCATTTTCATCCCTACTAGTCAATATGTTCAATAACCTGGTGTCAGATTCAGGTTGTCTTCTGCTAACTTCGACTGGAGTCAGCAATGAGGTAACAGCATTTAAATACTAACTTCCAACAAGCGCGAAATGCAAAAATCGTAGACAACTGCTCAGCAGTTTCATTCAAAATAAAAATATACTCCATTAATACCACGTTGTTTACTGCTTCAGTCATTGTAGTGTAAACGACAATATTCGGTTATTGACATCAAAAATGTAGCATAATCAATTATCCTACTCATGAGTAGTTAAACTTTATACACAAAAATATACAAATCTACAGTATCAGTTAAATTCACAAAGAGAATATCACAGATGTTTAGTTAATGGATCACTTTATTTATCACGCTGAATATTAGCTGTCTGTTGAATAATTACTAAGATTTGGAACTAAACCAGTTGGATCTACTGGGTACTGTTGCTAGTAGGGAATTTTTAGCTTTTACTAATATTTTAAAAGCTTCTTCACTTCCAGGCGCATTGTTTTTATCAGGATGCACTATGAAGGCCAAACGTCGAAATGCCTTTTGTATATCATCACTGAGAATAAATCAAACAAAAAATCATAATCAATAATTAATTCTTTTTTGAGAAAAAAAAAGAAATTCAATGAGATGCTGATTTACATATGGTTAAGAAGCTGTGAATGAAATCTTGGTTGCTTAACTAACAATACTTGTCTTCACGATCCCTGATAGTTACCATGACTCATTTCTCAGATAGTATTTAACATACAGACGTCAAAATCTATCATATACTAGCCTTAGTTCTGATTGGTTGTTTTAAGAACCGTATCGTCGTACACTTCTATGGCCTACCTGAAACATCAGGTGGTCAACATAACTGATAGACATGTGTTAATGAAATACAGTGACTCTAAAGGCCGGTTTAATAACAGCTGAACTAACCAATCAGATCTTAGCATTCCTTTCGGGATGTAATAAAGAAATCTGACTGGTTGATAGAGTGACCAATGGAAGGACGAAGCTAAAAGTTATCCTCAGGTGTTATATATATATTGTATGTATGTTTTATTAGCTTATATCTTGAGGTGAAAAGTGCAACCAATACTTTGGACGTGATGAAACAGCATGAATTATTATTTGGTGACAGAGAGCATTTTAGAAGCTATAAAAGTAGATAAAATATGCCTGCATAATAAAGAAAGCATACGAATTTGCTCACAGAACTCTATATCCCATAGCAAGCACGATATCACTTGGAGTTAGCTTTTAACTGCTTAGTCGCTCATGGAGTATTTGATTGACTTTAATGGTCACCCTAACAACAAACGAAATAGACAATTACGTTTCTCTATTTCAGCTGGAAAGGCAGATTTTCATAAAATAGAGGAATCCGACTGGTTATTACAGTTGTTGGTGAGTCAGCTTTTATTTCGTTGAATGACCTACTCGAATCATATTTCACCTTGGTTGAATTACAATGACTTTAAAGGCTACCCTAATAACTACCGAGATAACCAATTAGGCTTCTATATCTTACGAAAGATCACCTTCCTGGCCGGAATACCAAAACCTGATTGGTTATTAAAGCAGTTGTCAGGGTGACTTTAGTCAGGCTTCGGTATTTCGCCTGCGAATGTACGTTTCCGGAAAATAGGGGAATGTAATTGGCTGTTTCATCATTTCCTAGGGTGGCCTTTAAAATTGACTGAATTGAAAGGCCATCTTAGAAACTGCTGAAATAACCAATTAGCTTTCGGTATTCTGGCTAGGATGGTAGTTATTCCTAAAACTTAGAAATGTAATTAACTATCTGAACAGTTGTTAAAGTAGCCTTTAAATCCACTCAATTTTTCCAACTGCTTAGTTAACTAATTTCAATGAACTGGTATACTATGGGGGAATAGATAAATCGTTTGCTTCGATTGCTGATATTTTTAAAGTGGATTTCAGTCATGAAGTTCAGTGTCAATAATGGTTGGACAAATGCCATTATGGTCTCATTGTACCATGTATGAGAACCAGCTGAATACTTTACACTGGAAAAGACAACTGTTGAAGTCAACTCCAGTTGTTGTCATCCTGAAGGCAACGAATACACCCGTCTTCAAATCAAAGAAACGTTTTGAATTCATAATTTATCCTCATGAAAGATCCATATAAATGTAAGCAGAAATCGTGATGCTTTTGTTACTATGATTGTTTCATTATTTGTGAACGGTTAAAACTATCGTGAACGTCTGATTCTCCTCAATACTGACAGTATATTATAGAAATGAGAAGAAATTCACCACAAAATTACTATCCAGACCTTCATCTTTTATCATGACTTCACTTTATTAATATTTCAGTGGGGCAAGCTCGGAGTGGGTCAACACATTGATCAAATCAAGTGCCAAAATGATGCCCTGGGACTCAGAAATCATTACGTAGGAGTAACAAACATTATTATTTAAAACTATTCAACGAGTATTACCTCATACTAAGAGGTAATACGGTCCAATTAACATATAGACCAACTAATGTGCAGGTTTTCAAGTCTCAATTGAATACTCCTAGGAATATCCTAAGAGGTGAAGTCAAAAATATTAGTGTACAATGTTGGGACTGTGGCAGGAGTGTAATTCCATGTTAGAAACAGTTTTATTTACTGAATGACGACGATTCGAGGATAAATTACTATTCCTCATATTCATATGAATGTGATCACACACCATTTTCAACATCTCATATTTATAGTTGTGTCACATCATATTCGTTGTTTCTATTGGTAGTAAACATTTCACATATCTCTAGGTACACGTGTTGCCTCATCATTCATATGACATGAGAACAATATTGGTTGATTCGATGAACAATGATTCAGTAATCAGTCTCTCTCTCTCTCTCTCTCCACCTAATTATACTGAACTTGAGTACACTGGGTTTTATCCCACCCTGATTAGAGTAGTTGTGTGTTAATCCACGCATTGTAACAGCCGAGTTACTTTCTCTACATTATTCATCTTATTCGGAGCTGTTATTCTATATTCACCTAAATTCCAATTTTCGGGTATTCTTACTGATCCCGACCAGCTAAACTATTTTGCTTAATCTGACAAAGTTGATCTCTGAGTGACTTTATTGGTGTGACTACCACTCTAATTCCACCTTCGTTAAGGATCCTACGTAAACTTTCTGATGTACCCTACTTAAAGAGTAACACAATGGAAAGTGTGGACTCCTTACTATTTAAGATACTGTTATCTTTTCGTCTCTTAAATGTAGAGGATACTTATCAGCTATTAGTACTTCTTTTATGTGTTTCAATTTCTTGTTTAGATCGTTCGACTGACTAGTCAGTTTTCTAGCTGTATCACTGAGACATTTGACTAAACCTGCCTTCACTGACTGACATTGGATGAGATGACTTGAGGTCTAGATACCTGTAAATTGTTTCCTGTAGACGGTGGGTAGTATCCAAACCATCGACGTCTATCCTTCGTTTCATCCTGCAATCCAACATAGGTAATTCTCCTCATTCATTTTCTATCTCCTCGTAAGTCGATTGGATTACGTCTACTACTGAGTTTCTGTGTCCAAAGGAATTCTCCATATGTTCCGATTTCAAAACAGTAGTAAATGTTCATCCACATATCACCACCATTTCTTAGGCGGAGTAATAAACTCTTGTAATATCATGTTTTCCCAACTATCCATAAATGTATATCTGCTGTCATTGGGGATATTGGCAATCCTATTGCTACTCCTTCTGTTTGTCCGTATATTTTGTCCTGAAACTTGAAGATTGTAGAGGTCTGCCATAAGTCTACGCTTAATATGATCTCATCTATCGATATCTTAGTTGTCTGAGTAAGTTGTGAGTCAATATTCAGTTGATATCTGACTGCCTCCAGTGTCGTGGTGATTGGTATTTTACTATAAAGACTTGCTACATAGAAACTAACCACTTAAGTTAGGTTTAGTCAAATGTCTAAGTGATAGAACTAGAAAACTGACTAGTCAGTGTAAGGACCTAAACAAGGAATTGAAACACATGAAAGAAGCACTACTAGGTGATAATTATCCTCGACAGTTTATTAAGAAATTCGTACGAACACACAAGAAACGAAGTAATAACAGTCACACGATTATGAGTAATATCGGTAAGACGAGTTGAAAGGAGTTCACAGTCTCCATTGTGTTACCCTACAACGAAGGCTACATCAGAAACTTTATATAGGATTCTCAAGAAAGCTAGAATCAGTTATGGTGACATTTAAACCTACAAAGTGACTCACAAATGACCTTTTTCGGCTGGCTTATGTGTCAGATAGAACCAATTAAGCAAAATAATCTAATCTATGAAATTTCATGTAAGTGACTGTGAGTCAGATCAAGTACATAGGTCAAACTAGCTAGGTGGGATAGAACCAATGTACTTAACTCCAACATGATTAGGTAGAGAGAGAGAGAGAGATTGATAAGTGAATCCTGTGTTCATCGAATCAACCAACACCCTACTCATGTAATAAAAATGATGACGCAACCCCTGTACCAGATATATGGAGAATGTTTACTACCATTGGTGGATGACAGGACTATAAAGATCAGACATCGGAAGTTGAGTGTGATCACTGTGATATGATGATCAAGTAATACTGTATCACCACCTATTGTGTGATATGAGTTTCACTTCCTTGTTTACCTCATTCGACTGACTGGTGAGTTTTCCAGCTCTATTATATTTAGACATTAGACTGTACCTGACTTCACTGACTGACATTGGATGGGATGACTTGAGGTCTAGAGATACCTGTTAGATTATGTTGGTTTCCTGTAGACGGTGAACAGTATCCAAACCACCGACGTCTGTCCTCCGTTTCACTGTGGAATCCAACATAGGTAATTCTCCTTATTCGTTGTCTACCTACTCATAAGTGAATTGGTGAGTTAGATGAGAGGAACATAGGAATTCAGCTGAATATATATATATAGAATGACAGAGCAGGATAAGATGAATAATGTAGAAAGTAAGTCGTCTATTGCAATGCATGTACATGTGCACACAACCACATACACACACACACTATAGGGTGGGTGGGATAGAACCACTGTACTAAACTCCAACATGATTAGGTAGGTAGGTAGGTAGATAGATAGAGAGAGATTGATTAGTGAATCTCTGTTCATCGAACCAACCAACACCCTACTCATGTAATAGGAATGATGATGGAACATTTATGCCAGAGATATGGAGAATGTTTACTACCAATGATGACAGGACTATAAAAATCAGATATTGTAAGTTGTATGTGATCAGTGTGATATGATGATCAAGTAAATAATACTGTATCACTTATTGTGTGCTATATCATCAGATAAACAAATCGAATATGGGAATTATATTCCACCATATCGTCTGGACTTTACAATCATATGAATTCCTTACTTGACATTCGATGAAATGATGACAAGTCTAGATATCTATTAGAATGTGTCAGGTTGCTGTAGACGGTTGTATCTAAGGTACCTGATTACCCTGACGACAGCAGATGGAGCATGAGCTGAATCTGACACCAACTAATTGAAAATCAACTTCCATTAAGTTGATGATCTACAGCTTCATGGAGGCAGTCAGCTATAAAAGTCACCTTTCACCTATATATACGAAAGGTTTTTGGCCAAATATTAGTACCCCTTGTCTTAATCTATTCTTCATCATTTTAACATTAACTAGTTAGTTAAACAATACAAAATTCATTAATCAAGGATGTATAGTATAGAAAATCATCAACAACTGCTGTCTACGCTGACTCCTCACTGAAGATCAGATGAAATGGCGAGAAAGAATAAGCAATGAAAAACTCTGGCTGGCAACGAACCAACGAAACAATAACCTATCAGCCAACAAATATGCACTGGAAGGAAGTGTGGAAATGGATTGGGCATACACTGAGAAGGCTGACTGGAAACGTCATACACCAGGCCAGTTGCTCAAGTGGAACCCAGATGGAAAAGTGACGAGTTGGGCATCCAAGATGAGGGTGAGAGATAGAGGAGATGATATGAGAAAGAAATGACAGCTTGTGGAATGTCACACAGCCAAGCCCTATGTTCCATTAGGAACCCAAGGGATAAATAATTATAATAATAAGGATGTATAGTATACTTAAAAATTAAAATTTTGTTTAAAATATACAAAATTAACTTACTTGTTAGCTGTTTTACTAATCCCTAAACGTTCATAATCCGTTTTAGCATTTTTAATACGTTTTATCTCAATATAATGTGGATCATAATTATACTTCATAGTTAGATTTTTATTTTGTTCAATTGATGTAGTTGATGAAGGTGATGAAGGAATTTCTATTCTATTTTTTTTCAAATGAACAGAATTTATACTATAATTGTATTGATGATCAGTTTTCAATGTTGACTGTTTTCTTACATGATTATTATTATTATGCATCATTTCAGTATAATTGGAAGGTATACTCGATTGATAGACTTCAGGATTGATAATACTTTCGAATAGACTCTGTCAGTAGTATATGTGTGTACATAAAAAAGTGTGTTATATTATTTGTTAAAATGTTATACATATACAAAGAAATTTTTCATAGGTTTCCTTAAAAAAAGAGGTGAAATCAACGCACCACACACATATATATATATATATATATATATATATATATATGGATTGATTCATACGGATAATGGTGTTAATGATAATGATAATGGAATGAAAGTCTTAGAAAATGTTGAATGATAAAAAACTTTCAACTTGATTGAACCACATGATTTAATAATGATAACACTACTATTTTACGGATAAATAACTTCAAAGACCATTCCTAGGAATAAATGAAATAGTCAATTCAATTTCTTTATTTCAACTGAAAAGGTAGATTTTCATTAAATGAAAACATCTGATTGGTTGTTGTTGTTGTTAGGAGGGGGTTTAAAGTGACACCATTTTCAATCAATGAGTTTTGTTGTATTTTCTAAACGTATATCCTTTTTAATCAAAATAACGAAATCTGATTGGTTATTTCAATGGTTACTAAAGTGGGTATTCGATTCAATTGAAAGTTGACTGCATATTTGGTGATAACTTTCCTGAAGTTGATCTCAGAAATACCCCTAACATATGAACTAGCAAAGTATTCAGCATCGATATGTTGTCCTATTAGAAACCGTTCTCATTACAGACTAGTAAAATCTTACGTAGTAAAACTAAGGCTTATTATATAGAAGAGGATGAAAAAATGGTTGCCTTCGATGTATTAAGTCTTTATAGTAAAATACCAATCACTACAACACTGGAGACAGTCAGAAATCAACTAAATATTGACTCACAACTTACTCAGACAACTAAGATATCGATAGATGAGATCATATTAAGCGTAGACTTATGACTGACCTCTACAATCTTCAAGTTTTAGGACAAAATATACAGACAAACAGAAGGAGTAGCAATAGGATTGCCAATATCCCCAATGACAGCAGATATACATTTATGGATAGTTGGGAAAATGTGGCTTTACAAAAGCTTAGTCCTGACCTAAAATATGGTGGTGATTTGCAGATGACATATCGAGAATTCCTTTGGACACAGAAACTCAGTAGTAGACGTAATCCAATCGACTTACGAGGAGATAGAAAATGAATGAGGAGAATTACCTATGTTGGATTGCAGGATGAAACGGAGGACAGACGTCGGTGGTTTGGATACTGCTCACCGTCTACAGGAAACCAACATAATTTAACAGGTATCTAGACCTCAAGTCATCTCATCCAATGTCAGTCAGTGAAGTCAGGTACAGTCTAATGTCTAAATACAATAGAGCTGGAAAACTCACCAGTCAGTCGAACGAGGTAAACAAGGAAGTGAAACTCATATCACACTGATCACACACAACTTACAATATCTGATTTTTATAGTCCTGTCATCATTGGTAGTAAAGATTCTCCATATCTCTGGCATAAATGTTACACCATCATTCCTATTACATCAGTAGGGTGTTGGTTGATTCGATGAACAGAGATTCACTTACCAATCTCTCTCTCTCTCTCTACCTAATCATGTTGGAGTTAAGTACATTGGTTCTATCCCACCTAGCTAGTTTGACCTATGTACTTGATCTGACTCACAGTCATTACATGAAATTTCATAGATTAGATTATTTTGCTTAATTGGTTCTATCTGATACATAAGCCAGCCGAAAAAGCTTATCTTTGAGTCAGTTTGTAGGTTTAAATGTTACCATAACTGATTCCAGCTTTGTTGAGAATCCTATATGAAGTTTTTGATGTAACGCTCTTATAGGGTAACACAATGGAGACTGTGAACTCCTTTCAACTAGTCTTACCGATATTACTCATAATCGTGTGACGGTTATTTCTTCGTTTCTTGTGTGTTCGTACGAATTTCTGAATAAACTGTAGAGAATAATTATCACCTAGTAGTGCTTCTTTCATGTGTTTCAATTCCTTGTTTAGGTCCTTACACTGACTAGTCAGTTTTCTAGTTCTATCACTTAGACATTTGACTAAACCTAACTTAAGTGGTTAGTTTCTATGTAGCAAGTTTTTATAGTAAAATAGCAATCACCAAGACACTGGAGGCAGTCAGAAATCAACTAAATATTGACTCACAACTTACTCAGACAACTAAGATATCGATAGATGAGATCATATTAGGCGTAGACTTATGGCTGACCTCCACAGTCTTAAAGTTTCAGGACAAAATATACAGACAAACAAAAGGAGTGGGTATCAATGGGATCACCAGTATCATCAATTGTAGCAGATATATATTTATGGATAGTTGGGGAAACATGACATTACAAGAGTTTATTACTCCGCCTAAGATATAGTGGTGATATGTGGATGACACATTTACTACTGTTTTGAAATCGGAACATATCGAGAATTCCTTTGGACACAGAAACTCAGTAGTAGACGTAATCCAATCGACTTACGAGGAGATAGAAAATGAATGAGGAGAATTACCTATGTTGGATTGCAGGATGAAACGGAGGACAGACGTCGGTGGTTTGGATACTGCTCACCGTCTACAGGAAACCAACATAATTTAACAGGTATCTAGACCTCAAGTCATCTCATCCAATGTCAGTCAGTGAAGTCAGGTACAGTCTAATGTCTAAATACAATAGAGCTGGAAAACTCACCAGTCAGTCGAACGAGGTAAACAAGGAAGTGAAACTCATATCACACTGATCACACACAACTTACAATATCTGATTTTTATAGTCCTGTCATCATTGGTAGTAAAGATTCTCCATATCTCTGGCATAAATGTTACACCATCATTCCTATTACATCAGTAGGGTGTTGGTTGATTCGATGAACAGAGATTCACTAATCAATCTCTCTCTCTCTACCTAATCATGTTGGAGTTAAGTACATTGGTTCTATCCCACCTAGCTAGTTTGACCTATGTACTTGATCTGACTCACAGTCATTACATGAAATTTCATAGATTAGATTATTTTGCTTAATTGGTTCTATCTGATACATAAGCCAGCCGAAAAAGCTTATCTTTGAGTCAGTTTGTAGGTTTAAATGTTACCATAACTGATTCCAGCTTTGTTGAGAATCCTATATGAAGTTTTTGATGTAACGCTCTTATAGGGTAACACAATGGAGACTGTGAACTCCTTTCAACTAGTCTTACCGATATTACTCATAATCGTGTGACGGTTATTTCTTCGTTTCTTGTGTGTTCGTACGAATTTCTGAATAAACTGTAGAGAATAATTATCACCTAGTAGTGCTTCTTTCATGTGTTTCAATTCCTTGTTTAGGTCCTTACACTGACTAGTCAGTTTTCTAGTTCTATCACTTAGACATTTGACTAAACCTAACTTAAGTGGTTAGTTTCTATGTAGCAAGTTTTATAGTAAAATAGCAATCACCAAGACACTGGAGGCAGTCAGAAATCAACTAAATATTGACTCACAACTTACTCAGACAACTAAGATATCGATAGATGAGATCATATTAGGCGTAGACTTATGGCTGACCTCCACAGTCTTAAAGTTTCAGGACAAAATATACAGACAAACAAAAGGAGTGGGTATCAATGGGATCACCAGTATCATCAATTGTAGCAGATATATATTTATGGATAGTTGGGGAAACATGACATTACAAGAGTTTATTACTCCGCCTAAGATATAGTGGTGATATGTGGATGACACATTTACTACTGTTTTGAAATCGGAACATATCGAGAATTCCTTTGGACACAGAAACTCAGTAGTAGACGTAATCCAATCGACTTACGAGGAGATAGAAAATGAATGAGGAGAATTACCTATGTTGGATTGCAGGATGAAACGGAGGACAGACGTCGGTGGTTTGGATACTGCTCACCGTCTACAGGAAACCAACATAATTTAACAGGTATCTAGACCTCAAGTCATCTCATCCAATGTCAGTCAGTGAAGGCAGGTTTAGTCAAATGTGTAAGTGATACAGCTAGAAAACTGACTAGTCAGTCGAACGATCTAAACAAGAAATTGAAACACATAAAAGAAGTACTAATAGCTGATAAGTATCCTCTATATTTAAGAGACGAAAAGATAACAGTATCACAAATAGTAAGGAGTCCACACTTTCCATTGTGTTACTCTTTAAGTAGGGTACATCAGAAAGTTTACGTAGGATCCTTAACGAAGGTGGAATTAGAGTGGTAGTCACACCAATAAAGTTACTCAGAGATCAACTTTGTCAGCTTAAGCAAAATAATTTGGCTGGTCGGGATCAGTAAGAAAACCCGAAAATCGGAATTTAACTGAATATAGAATAACAGCTCCGAATAAGATGAATAATGTAGAGAAAGTAACTCGGCTGTTGCAATGCGTGGATTAACACACAACTACTCAATCAGTGTGGGATAAAACCCAGTGTACTCAAGTTCAGTATAATTAGGTGGAGGGAGAGAGAGAGAGAGAGAGAGAGATTACTGAATCATTGTTCATCGAATCAACCAATATTGTTCTCATGTCATATGGATGATGCTGCAACACGTGTACTAGAGATATGTGAAATGTTTACTACCAATAGAAACAACGAATATGATGTGACACAACTATAAATATGAGATGTTGAAAATGGTGTGTGATCACATTCATATGAATATGGGGAATAGTAATTTATCCTCGAACCGTCGTCATTCAGTAAATGCTACCGTATCACCACTGTGTGTCAGAAATCAAAGAAACAAATGTAATATGGAGTTTATGAGTTATTTATTTACCTTCCTTCAAATTCTCATTGAAGAGGAAATATTTCACCAATCTAGTTATTTACACTTGTTGACTATCTAGTCTACACATGATACAATGGTTGACATAAGTGTCCACAATACACCATGTGACAAACCACAAAAATAAAGGCAGTTATCAGTGATATGGTGTGAATGTGACAGTGATTAACAGGATG